TAAGTCAAATATTTTGCTTAAGTGTTAAGTCACACTTAAGTTTTGCTTTCTGAAACACATTTCAGTCAAAACTTAAGTTTTACTTAAGTGTCACTTAACTCTAACTTAGTTTTCAACTTAAGTCGTCGACTTAAGTAAAACTTAAGTTTTTTGATGAAACAGACCCCAGAATCACTGATTTTTCCCACGTAGTGAAAACTTCGCGATTATGTCAAGAAAAAAATTTTCGCACATATTTGAAACAATAACTAGTAATACTTTTTCGTGTCGTATATCAGATACTGATATAGTGATTACAGAAACCATTTCGAAAAAAGATCTATTTTAGACATACTTGTACTTAATGTTTACATGTGAACAATGACGAGAAAGAGAAGTGAAGATTGCAGAACAGGTTTTCTTTGTACACATTTACGCTATGTTCCCTATTAAACATCTAACGTTTAGTGGTTTTCCTTTATATCACGTACGACAAGATGCGTACACATTTGAATCCTGAAAAACGTGCACAAAAAAGAAAGAAAAAGTTCTGTATCATCAAAAGAACGCTAGTTTATTTTTTTGCCGATGTTCTTACGAGATGCTTGTTTCTTGCCATTTCAGACTAAAATTTTTTGATTTATCTTGATACGCCGACAAGATTCTGGCTCTAATTTTTTATTGATTTTTCACCTTTTTTTCGCAAAAAAAGAAACAATAAATTTGTCGACGACAGAATCACCAATTTCTTTTGTCGCTTTCAGTACTACATATAAAAATCATAATATTATACATACGTGTCTATAGAAGCTCTTTATAAATACTAAAAGATTACTTTAAGAACGACAAGATTCTAGCAAAAACTATGAGGTATATAAGACATGGTTCTCGCAAAGAAACTTTTCTGTAAAGTCAGCGAAGAATCGTGTGACCGTTTCTTGCAAGAAATCACAAGAAAAAATTTCACTGCAAGAACCATGTCTTATATACCTCATAATTTTTGCTAGAATCTTATCTGGAATGACAAGAATTAAGCATCTTGCAAGAATACCGCCAGGAAAATGAATCACTAGAGAGAAGGAAGCGAAAGCTGATGCTCACATGCACATATCTTATAGGACATGTAAAAGATGAAGAAAAACCACTAAACGCTAGATATCTATTGTTTTCTTTTGTTTTCATGTTGTACACGTGTTATGCTGTAGACAGCGAAAGGACATGACATATAGTCTACGGTTTTTTACCTTTTTTCAACTTAGTGTAAAGATTATTCTGCTCTCATTTTGACAGCTTTGCCCCGGTCTTCTTTGGTTTTACAAGGTTATACTATAAAAGAAAAAGTAAATAGCTTAAACTGTTAACATCATAGTAAGTACACAGCAATTTCATAGAAAGTGAGAGATGAGAACAAATAAACTCTTTCCACGTTTTTTTGTCACAAAGTTGAACTATCTTTCTCATTAAACAGTTTTGGGCACCAAAAGGGTTTTATCCTCAGAAAATGCATCAGATCTGAGGACTTCTACTATGTACAGGCTCGTTTAATCACGCTCACTAAATGATATCAGCCACTCTCTCACTTTAATTTTGAGCTCAAGTTCAGATAATTCAGCTTTGTGACAAAAACATTTCTGTATCTCAACTCTCATTCTCTATGCCTCAAATTGTTGAGTACTGCGAGATATCGATCAGAAAAATTATTTGTTTGTTTATATTATTGTAATAGAAACTATCATAATAAAGCATTTACAACCTGCAAAAACGCGAGTAGAATGGTCTTTATACAACGTTAAAATACGAAGAAATGTTTTGTATACAAGGGTCGTTTAAATGAGAATATGAAGACATCTTTATGTAAATGTAAATAAAGTGTGCACACATATACCAGGAATCTCATGTGTATGGTTTTCTTGCGCTAAGAAAGTCATGCGTTTGAGGAAAAAACTTTACTAGGGTAGCAGGGAGGTACGCAGCGCTTAGCTAAGGAAAACTGACCCGTATCCACGAACATATACATTCTTTTGTCCGAGCGTGAATAGCCTTAAATGTATACATTTTCAGTCCAAGCGTGAATAGCCTTAAATTTCGTTTTCCCCCATTCGTTCTGAAAAGTATTTTGATTGAAATCAAGTACTATACAAGAATGTTTTCTACGCTTAGGGAATATGTAAATTACATTCAAAATTAACTTGGATTGCACTATAGACAGTTATACATTATTTATTTTCAGATAAATGTCGTCAATGGAAAAAGAAGGCGTGTGGGATGAATTGTCACATTTATCAATAACAGAAGAAATTGACATGGGAGCAAGTGGGGAAACTGCTCAAGGTAAGAGAATCATCACAAAACTCACTTTCGTGCAGAAGGTTAAATGCTTAGCTCAACGTTCTTATTTAGATGCGTGATTTGGTCGTCAGAAATCCAAAGAGTCTGGTTTAAATTGCCCATATCATATATTACAAAACTGATCAATAAAAACTTTTGGAAAGCTATGAACAATCGTTCATATCTGCTCACCTTCATTTTTACTTTAACAACTGTTCTTTCAATTTTTCGTTTCTAATAGAAAAGAATTGTTAGTTGTTATTGTCAAGTTTTGTTACAAAATAATCTAATAATCTCTTTTTTCTTTACTTTTCGTTACTAAATGTTTGTGGTTGTTAAACTACTATTTTTTGTTTTTCATATAATTTACTTATGTATTGATTGGTATACTACTCGTAAGTCCTTGTGGTTAACCATTTTGATAATTAATTTCTGTTTATTTTTTATTTAAATAAATAGCAATTCTACCAGAAATTGTAAATATGCTTTTAAACTAGCAGACAGGTGAGCAGCGCTTAACTAAGGAAAACTGATCCATATCCACAAACATATACATTCTTTTGTCCGAGCGTGAATAGCCTTAAATTTCGTTTTCCCCCATTCGTTCTGAAAAGTATTTTGATTGAAATCAAGTACTAGTCGGGAGCTCAGGGAGCGCACTGCGGTTCATTGGTTTGTCTTCATGAAGAAAAAAACGCGTCGCAAAATGGCCGATCTTGATCTTTTCACGAATTTTAAAATTGATCGCTTACACGAACGAAATGTATCGGACTTTCGCCATTCGACTTAGAATAGACCAAAGTATATTTGGTAAAGTTTGCAGCTCGATAGCTCTTAATTTGGTGAAGCTGCAAGCTACCAGTTTTACGCCACCATATCTAGTTTTTTCGCCA